ACGTTACCCAAATCAACGGCAAAACCTATGACGGCCAATAGGAATTCAACTTTTTTATCCCAAGTTTCTCTTGGAGCTTCCGGTGTTAACGTAACCGCCGTATTGTTTACCTTCACACCGCACCATTCTTTTCCATCTTTTCCTAATTGTGCCACTGCACCACCAACACCACCCCCACCACCGCCTCCGCCGTCACCGCTGCTACCATTTGTTTTTTCTTTTTCTTCCGGTTTTTCTTCTTTTCCCCCATCTTCATCATCATCTTTGTGATCACCGTTTCCCATAACTCGCACTCCTTCCAAAAAAAAAATCATTTCGTTTTACTTTTAACCGGAAATACATTTTTTTTTTTATTCTTTTAATAAAACCCAAAGAAAAAAAATTATTATTATTATTATTATATTTCCGGTTAAAAAAAAAAAATACAATTTACAATGTTAAATGTTCTATTAATAATTTAATTTTTTTTTTTCTTTCTTTCTTGTTGTTGCTTTTTCATCTCGGACTGAATGATTTATCTCATTTCATACGAACCGAACGTGTTAGTGATTTTTGTATCGTATATATAAAAAAAAGATAATTTATTTAATGTATAATGTAAAAAGATAATAATAATAATATAAAAATAGGTCATACGATATAATAAACGCGCTTTCGAAATTTTTTTACACTTGTGTATTATATTATAATATATATATATAAGTAAAAAAAAAAAATTTTTTGTTTCCGGTAAGTGTAGATTTAATTAAATTTATTATTTAATGACTTCCGGTTATTAATTTTTTTATTTTATTTTTAATAATGCAAACGACAATTGTATTATTATTATTATTATCGCATTTTAACACGGCAAGGTTTTGTGTACAGGTTGGGGACTTTAAACATTTAACCCAGGTCTCACTTTTACCCGATTCCAAAGAATTACGTTGATTAATATTTTCGAAAGATTGTGGCGCACATGTTGCGATTACCTGTGGGGTGCGTCTTCTTTTAAATTCTTCCAAATCTTCAAATTTTCTTTCGTTGAGTGTGGCATGGCTTCCAGTGCTCCCACGATGATCGGAATAGTTTCTGACTTTACTTTACTCTCATCCTGGGTATTTCAACCTTCTGTCTGCTTCTTTGACTGTCTGATATTTTTTTCTGCCGGTACGGATAGTTCAATTAGCTTACACTATTTTTCTGCGTTATGCCTTAGGATGACATCCGGTTTGTTGGCTGGCACTGACAGTTCTATCAGTGTGGATTTGTTGATCATACAGAACTGTGTATGGACCTACTATCGTAACCGGACTTGCAATGTGGTTGCACCAATCCTTGGGTAATCCATCCATACCATATTCACGATAGATATTCCAGTGGAGATATTGACAAATTTTATTGTGCCTCTTTAGTATTCATGTTTTGCCAATATCGGACAACCAGAAATAAAATAATCGATTGTTTCCGACTACGATTGGCGAATTCTTGGGGAGCTTTGAGAATTACCCTCTCATAATTAAGAGTCTGCAATGTCTGGTCTTGTGCAGCTGTAGTAAACGCTTCCATTTTTATTTTAAGTTTTCAACGCCGCAGCCAATCGTGCATGCTCTTGTTATTAATATCTAAAACGTTCACCCTCTTCAAACATCGTCCATGAAACTTTTTCGCCTCTCATTTGACCTTTATCCTCTTCTGGAATTAAGCTTTGCTTGTAAGTTCTATGCTGCCACACTTCTTGTTCGTTCGATGCTGTTGATGGGATTCCATGTATTTTCAATGTCTTTTTGATACGTTACTATTATTATTATTATAGCATGCAAATCAAGTAGAAGAGAGAGAGAGAGACAGACAGACAAAGAGAGAAAGAGAAGGAAAAAAAAATAGATAATTGTTATCGTTTTGTTGGTAAAATGTTTTTGATAACTAGGTAATATAAATGATAATATTAGGGAAAATCTTTTCAAATGTCAAATTCAAAATATCAGTTTTCTTTTTTAATATCATATTAAATATTATCCAGTACGTCTTTTACAGTATATATAAAATAA